ATTTTTGAGGCGAAATACCCAAAAAGAAGTTTGTAAAAAATGAATCCGCCTCAACAATATAGAACTTATCTACAACTAAGGAAAGTTATTGTTACTATTTTTCAGCGAGTCAAGTAACAAACCATTACTTCTAAGGCTTCAGCATGCGAAGCCGCCAGGAGCGGCAGATGCGAAAGTACGATTGGTTTTAGATCCCAGCTGTAGCTATCAAATTAAGTAATATGGCCAATTAATTATGATTTGAAGTCGAAACCGTTTAAATCGTCGAATTTTAGTATCCAATTGAATATCTTCGGAATGTTTGGTCAAATCATTCGGCACTACTCTACGTTTCTATTATCAACAATGGTGGTGGTGTTTCTTCTGGCTTTTCAGAATCAAATTAAGGAACTGGGTGAGTCCAATAGGATTCCAATATTTTTTGTTGCGTCGTGGGATGGTCTGAATACCTTATGGATTGTCGTATTGACGGCCGCCGGATCTCTAGTCTTGTAAGTAAGCGTACAGCCATACTGCTCCTTTCACAGTTAATGTTCCTTTCAGCAAAGATCTAATGCCGGAACCCGAGTTTAAGATCTCTTTCAGCTATGTGTACTCATATGTGGCAATGCTTGTACTACTCATCGTTTCATTTTCCGCTGTTTTCCTCCTGGCTGCAGCCTACAGCATATCGCTGTTTGCTCTTGAATCCACGGTGCATAAATTTGCTCTTAAGTAAGCAGTCAATCAAGTTAAATTGCGCGAACATTTTACAAACCTTTTTCAGATTATTGGCAAAAAGTGCTACTCTAACTGTCCGATTCTCGGACTACTTTATGAGCTTTCTGCATAAAGTTCCGTTTATAGTAGCAGCGGCCCAGCTGGTGTTGTGCTTTTCCACTTGCGGTGCTGTTGCGCTTTGTGTAGGTCTAGTGTTTTACTTCTTTAAAGTAAGTATCTATAAAACAATCACTAGAAAGTGTTTATGAAAGTCTTTCTGCAGCTAACACAAATGTCGCAGAACTATGTGGAACAGATGACTTGGTATCTATTGAAAAATCTGAGTCGCAGAATTCAGGTATGGTGCAGTAAGCGTCTGCAGAATGCAACCACTGACAATGACGATGAAGAAGTTGAGACCGATCAAAACGACTGCTTAGATAATATCAATAGCTATAAAGAAGCAAGCGAAGGATCAGTTCAAAGTGGAGCTAGTATCAATTGTTTAGAGCTGACAGAGACTGTGCTACGTGGGAACAGTAGTTCAAAAATGCCACTCGCCACTGAAACTCCCGCAGAAAGCTCATTCAACAGTTTAGCCCAGAGCCATAATAACATTTTCTTCCATTCTTCAATGTTCTTCATATGGGTATTTGTTACAGTTTTAAATATACCGGCCGCTCTAGCGTGGGCACACAATTTCAAGTATGTTAAATGACATATCTGCGATTTATACTTGGCTATGTTAGGTGCTTTTTTCATTTTAGGTACAGTAAAAGCTTGTCACCCGATGAGTCTCTTATAGCAGGACTAGTGTTCAGCATAGGTGCTTTATTTTTGTGGCAAATCGATCTTCCTAGAACAAATAGGTGCGTGGAGTTTCCTAAAGTAATTTCTACACATTTTGTGTTGTTTTTTACTGTTGTTATAATGCGCTTCGGACTATCTAATCCCGTTTATTCTTTTCTTAGGAAATTTACCATCCCGTTACGTTTCATAATAATCGGGCTGATCCCCATAAGTTTCCTGTATTGTTCAGTGTCGGTGTACAGATTGAACTATATGCTGACTTTTTTGTTTGCCCTGGTTATCATACAACAAATCGCTCCCAATTTGGAAACAGGTTCTGATGAATCGCCGCCAGAAAGACGCGCCAGCCAAGTCGATCAAGATAAATATGAGGAAGCGAAAACGAAAATGGACTGATTAGTGAGACGGAATTCAAAATAAAATTGGGTATTCTTTTGGCTGACAGAGCTTGATAATTTGTATCGTACGGGAGTTGATCAAGCTCATAAAAAACGTTTATGTTTAACTACAAAATATTAATACATGTATTTTTTTCTAATTTGCGTTTTTATTATCACATGCAACCTCTGTTGATGAACAGAATTATTGATTGAACTTTGGCCACCCCAAATTTTTTCATTTCAAAATATAGTTTCGTACCGCTACTCCAGGGAGGTAAAAATAATTATCGAAGTCCCGAAGTCGAAGCGGAAGGATTAGAAATCTATATATTAGTTTTTTAACTGTATTTACCTTCTTCTTTATCTATGCTAGCGTATAACGTATAAAAGATTAGAGAGCTTGATTGAGTCAATAGTCTTGTGATATACAGAGAATGAACCTCTGTGATCTGTGGTTCTATACCAGAGAGTATAACCTAACATTGGGCGGTCAGGTCAAAATTCAATTTTAGTTTTTCTGGAATTTACAAAGACAAGAAAAATAGATGTTTTATCAAAAATAAAAAAAAACAGCTAATCAATATAACATAATTGATTTTTTCAAACTTTTAAACATTTATAATCATTTTCTATAGTATAAATTTTCTCTTATAAATATGGGGAAAAATAAATTTAACATAACATAACCAATAAATAAAACAGTAACAACGATTAAAACTATGTACTTAAATAGCATTATTTTCCTTCAAAATGTCAGTTGACGCCAGCGACAAATGCTTCAATTTTGTTAATGAGTCCCCCTGATTATTGTACATTAAATCCAGAATTTGATTTATTAATAAAAAGCCAACATCTACAATAAAAAGAAAACACTGAATGGTTTATCTAGAAAAAGGAAATACCACAACGGTAAGAAAATAGACACTGACACGGTAAGAATATAGACAAGTTTCTAAAGAATTTAAAAATAATGAGCATTTAAATTAAAATATAGCTGAAAGTGAAATCAACAAAAGTACCTTTAACATGAACAGAGTCTTCCGCATTCTGGAGTTCTTCGGGAGGAGATGGAATGATTTCATCAAATGTTGGTAACATTTCGTCATCAAGTATCGTCCTTTCCTGGGGTTGAGTAATACAATTTTTGGGTGACCTGCGTTTTAGCTATACGAAAGGAAACCTTGACGGTTTTAGTTAGACTGGCTAAAAATCGTTCTTAAACCAGCAGAATGTGTTTACACATTTTGCAAACCCCGTTATTTGGAATTGTTGAACTTACCGCAACATTCTGAATAATATTGACTTTATTCCCTTTTGCATCTTCAATATCTATCTCAGGCCAATCGTAATGCTCTGAAGAACTTGAACTTAAAGGGGGGGTTGAGGCTGAAGCTTCACACCTGGAAATTTGAAAATTCAATATTTTATAGAGCAAAGAGAATCCTAATCCTTACCTGGCAGCCAAATCCAAATTTTGAAAAGTATTTTGTTCAAACATTAGCAACGGCGGCTGATTGGCGTATTTAGCAACGGCTTCTAGGTGCGTACAACGCGATTCTTCAAATAGTGCAAAATAATCCTGCATAACGGGCTCTAAACCAAGCAAAGGTTTGTTCGATTCTGAAAAATTTCGGTCGAAGAATTAGTCAAAATTTTTTGACGAGGAAAGAAAAATCTGATCAGTTTATATCGGAATTTCCCGTTGATCAAGTTAAATAAAACTACAGAAACCCGTGAACTGTAAAAACACTTACTCGTTCTTTTGTTTCGCTTCACCGTGTTCTTTTGTCTTGTTTTTTTTTCCACTGGTTTTGGTTTGCCTTTCGGTTTGATTTTTGAAGTTGTTTCTTTTACTGGATGGTTGTCGGGTTCTTCAGGCATAGGAAGCACTTCGATGATATCGAGATCAGTCGTATTTTGAATTTTTTTTTTGCAATTTCGTTTGGGCCTTGCGATTGGTGTACTTGATATTATTGGTGCTAGAAATGATATCATAATACAGTTGACTAATTATTATTGTTAATCGGAATTTGTTCAAACGACCCACAAAAACCAAGCACTACACGGAACCCAACTTATTAATTCACCAAAATAAAACTGAATCTATTTTTAATTTGCCTCGTATTTACCTTCTTTCTCTCCATTAGCATTCCTATGTACCATTGCCTTTACAATTATGCGGTTGGAGACTACTGATGTTGGCGAGTTGTCTAAAAAAGTGTGATGAAAAAGTGTCTTGAAAAATCAAAATCACGAAATATATTACATACCGTTCATACCTGTAATTGCATTGCTTTGCAAAGGCTCTTCTGCAGAATTTTCCATAATCGGTTCTGCCAGTAGATTCTCAGCTTCAAGTGCTCTTTGCGAATCAACGCGTTTAACGTGCCAGTATTCTTAAACTACAGAGGAAGCTTAAACGTCTGAACGTTCAAAATGTTTATCAGCTTTGCATTTTTCTTTCGCTTTATCTGGGAATGTGGAAAGCAAAAAAATACTATAGAATGTTCTTATTTTGCTACAAATGCTGAATACCTTCCGATTTGGTTTCTACGCAGTTTTTCGACTCCAGGTTGAATCGCTTGTATTTCGGCTTTAGGGAAACTTTCTGAGTTAGCTGCTCTTTCACTGATTTCACTATGCTTTTTGGGTTTTTCAATTTTTAACTCGTTTGCTTCGTCTAGTTTAGTCTAAATTAATTTTTATCAAATTGAGTTTTGTATTATATCACTTTTAGAACGCTGGAAAAACTCACCATTTTTCTGAGCAGCTGTAATTCCTTCAATGTTGTCTGCAAATAATTTTCATTATTACACTTTGGAGACTTTGCGGGCTCACTGGTAACTGTGATATTATTTATGCGATCTGATTTCGTTTTTCTTACGCGTTTAGGTTTGCTTTCTTCTACGGTTATTGCTAAATTTTCCGCTTTGGTATCTAATAGTGAACAATTTTCAGGGTATCAAGTTATATAATATTTCGCGTTGTTTATTTACCACTTGTGAATAAAATCGCAAAATTTTCATTTGCCTTTGTTCTTTAGTCCGTCCGGCTCCTGTGCCATATCAAAATCAGGCTGAGGGAATCTTTGTATAGTTCTAATTTTTTTCTTCGTACTATTAGCTTTTGGCTTCGCTTTCTTTATTTTCTTGGGTAAAACTTCCATCGAAATGATTTGGTCTGAAAACCCCCTTTTGTTATTAGCGTTAGGAGTTTCCTGCCAAGAATGTTCTAGAAAATGTACTTACGACCCTTACCTTCTTTTATTAATTCAGCTTTAGGATTCAATTTCGTCGTGTGTAATTTATTAGAAGCTTTACTAGTGATTCCCTGTGCTGACCGATTTTTCGACTTGGGTTCCGACACGTTAATCGCCCTCTTCTCTTTATTGCTTTCGAGGCTCATGTCTAAAACCAAATGTTAGAAAATAACCACTTGTTTTTTCAAATTTGCCAAAGCTATAGTTACGCTTTTCCTGCCATGTAGGAGCAGTCGATGGTATCAGTGGACTTAAATCATGATCGACTTCATTTTCCTGCACCAGCTTCTGTTCCAGTGTTGATGTTCTTGTCCATCTGATTTTCTTCTTGCTCGTCAAGGTCTTCTAAACTTACCTTTGGAATGGCACCGTCCATAACTAAGAGCGGTTAGAATAAATTTTGCGAATTTCTTATAATTTACAAAAATGCACCTTGTTTTAACTCGGAAGTTCTGTTCTGAACTGAATTGGCTGAAACCTGAGAATTGGAATCCCGGTTTTTCTAAAGTTACTTTCTTCTCAGACATCGCTTGGCTAACTGTTTGCTCTTTATCATCTTCCAATGTTGGAGTTGGCTTGTCGGCTGGCAAAACTGGATGAGAATCAATTTTAAATTACAATTTGTCAAATAGTTGCATCGACGTTTTTCGAAACCAGTGATTCGTTTTTTTCACAAAGGGACAGGTTTTGGTGAACATAAATAATAACTGAATATACCGCTCTCTTGTATTCCTACATCCGCAGCTGCAGAAATGACTAAATTATCTTCTAATGCTATTTCACTGCTAGATTTTGTTATAGTTGACTTTTGCTCTTCCAGGTCTTCTAGTCTTGGTTTTACGATGTCTTCTTTCTGGGCTGAATGAAAATAAAGATCAGTATTTTTGCAAAACATTATTGGCCTTTTGAGCCAGTTGAGTTGAGTGACCTTGATCCAACAAAACATGACATTGTGGTTCTTTAGTACTATCCGGGATTGCAGAATCTGCTTTTTCTTTCAACGCAATTTTCCTCTTATTAGTCTTCGATTTTGTGTTTTTCACTTTAGCGCGTTGTATTTTTGGCTTCGAATTATCTGGTTCCGCAACTGTTTGAAATATGGTAGGTACTCTCAGGGTGTAACTTTTCGAAAGATAGTTAAATTACCATTTTTCACCAAATCCGAAGTTGAAGACATCTCAGGCTTGGGCTCGATATTAATATCTTCATTATTGAATTCTGGCTTCTGAACTAGTACAGTCTCAGAAGCGGTTCGACAATCCATCTCCTGCAGCAATTCAAAGCCCGACTCAGGAGTATTACGGGCGATTTTTTTGTGTTTAGAAAATTTGTCCGGGCTTATGACTGAGTCCTCTTGAACAGGCGCTAATTCTGAAAAAAATGTCGGTATTTTGCATAAAAACTATTAATTATAATGTGAACCTACTAGTCTCAGAAATAAGTCTTGAGGGGTTCTTCTTCTTCTTTGGGTTTTTTTTGGCACAACCAACTAGGGGTATTTTGCCAGCTCGTCACGTAAGAGGTCCAGTAAGCGGGCTTGTGCCCCTGATCCTCCAAAGTCTTACTCACTAACAGTAATATTATAGTGTTTTTTTTTATGTTTGCTTGGTGTGTCTTTTCAGTCTTCTTGTTTCTTTTTGCTTGCTACTTGCTATTGTAACGGAAATGGCCTGGGGTACTCACGTTTGGAATGGGGGATCGAAATACATACTAAATATAATATTGTTGAGGATTACTCATTTGTCTTATTGTTTCGGTTATTAACTTAGTTAATCTATGAGTAGAATACGTCTTCGCTCATTCAAAATTTAAATGTAGTTCGTCCACTACTCCACTGGGCAGATGCAACAAATGCTATTTTACTTTAGAAGCACTGCTATTGGTCGAAAAAGATCAAGTTTCAAGGACAAAGAACAGTCAGTCAATCACAACCTCACAGGCCACAGAACATACCCCAGGGGGGATATTTTGTGCTCACAGGCCTGCCACATTAAAGAAAATATCGGAGACATTTTTTGTTCATTGAATATTGCTATTTGCCGAATCATGGGGCACGTCCCACTCCAATACATACAAAACCTTACCACTTCACGAGAATAAAATATCTCCTTTCACTAAAACTCAGGCCAATTGACAACGCCGCGGGAAATCAAAAGGCATAAAGGCAGGTATTTGCCTTTTTGCTTGTTGAAATATCGAAATCCCAGATGTTGATGTTCCTGAGCAGCATGGTAGGCGAGCCCTGTTATTTCAAATCCAATGTTATCCAAGTTATTTCAATTTTCAAATCACATGTTATTTGAAATATCGATAACAGGTACCGACTGTTCCATATCGATACCTGTGACAAGTATTTCGTGTCATCCCTAGTTTGTCAGTCTTTATCTATGTTTATCAGTATATCAAACATTTTTTAGGCAGAATCATCTTGATCTATGCTTTCTAGGACTGTTTGTGATTTACTCATTACTAGCGTATGAGTTAACTGAGTTACCTAACTATACTGCGTTTACTTGACTGTTGCACTTTTCAAAACCCGCTAGGATGAGCTCTAAAGATAAGGACAGTAAAACGTTCCCGACTAGATTTAAGGAGTTTTTTAAGAGCAAACCCTTGGGTAAGAACTCATTTTGTATCGGATTTGTAGGCCATGTACTTATTTTCCAGCCCCAACGTTTTGGAACAATGTAGTTGTGGATGTAATTTTTTAACATTATTTTTACGTATAGTAGTTTAACGGGTTTGTCCCCTATCAAAAACCAACGGTTTGAAACTCCAGTAGTGGTGGCTTAGTACTAATACCTTACAGTGCCATTAAAAAACCTGAAGCGATAATTCTGCTAAGAGAAATAATCATAATGATTTTTGTAGGAAGCAATGTGGGTCGAGGTGAGTTCAATCTTTCTCAAGACGTTATAAGGGACATAGGCAAAGATTCTCCCTTGCAAACCAGGCTAAAGGTGCTGAAGGATTTATGTGTTTCTGTCGAGCAGGAAAAACTGGCCAGTGTAAGAGCAGAATTTTATGTCGACTCGAACTGAAATAATGATAGTTTTTATCTTCTAGAATGTAGTCGAGAAGCTTTGGTGCTGCATAGAGGACCTGTTTTCGCGCGAGAATCCATCCGAGGCGCGACACCAGGCATTCTATTTTATGCAGTGCATGGCGAAAGGGCAGAATGAAAGACTGACTTTGATGAGGGCACAGATTTTTCGCTTAATCAAACATCATGACCACCCAGAAGACATTGGACAGAAGCTGGATCTGTTGATTGCCCTGACTTCCAATGGTAGGTATTAAACACTAATAGCTTCCTCGTAACCGCGTTGGTTTGCAGGCAAAGGCGTATTGTTTTTTGAAGAAGAAATCGGGCGTTTTCTGCTCAATTGGCTTCCCGAAATATCGCGCATTGGTCGCATCGAAGAATATCTTATAATGATTGACAACGTGATACGTTTTAATGCTGCATATTTAGATGAAGAGATTATTAACGGTTTTATAGAGTAAGTGTTAATTTAAGCCGCTAGATATGGAGATTAAGACGCGACTGGATTTATAGACACATCTGTTTGTTGTGTGGCCCGACCAGCCAGTATACCACCATAAACCTTTGCCTACTGATTATGTCCAGTATTGTGGCATATAGCAACATGTCGCCGGACGCCCTACCGAAATTTATCGGCGCCCTTTGTCGCACTGTTATTGATCAAAAATATTGCGAGAAAAGTTGGCAGGTATACTTTCTCGCTTCGTGGACTTTTATTTAGTCTAACTTGTCAACTCCCAGATCATGAAAAATCTCCTGGGCACCCACCTTGGCCACTCAGCGATTTACACTATGTGTCGTATCCTGCAAGAGCCCGCTTTAAGATCACATATTGACCTTCTGCGTGGAGCGGTGTTCTTTACACGAATGGGTCTTTGGACGTTGGACCCTATTCCAGATTTGCGCTGCCCGCCCAGTTCCATTTTACCATCTTTTTTACAGGTAAAATATTGTCTCAGCGCATGGTTTATTGGATCTTATGGCAGCAAATATCGCGGGGATTTTAGGCAGTAAATGGAAATCAGCCTGCTGTTGCCTATGAAGTTTCCCTAGCACTTCAGCAGTTGATTAATCGATATGGCAGCGAACTGTTGGATTCCTCTTGGTCTATAATACTGCTAATTATTTTGCGTATCTTTCGCATAGCCAACACTGGTAGGTTTTTAAAATCGCTCAAATGAGTTAGTAATGTTGGTGCTTCGTTCAATTTTTCACACTTTTTAGAGCCCAATCCCCACAAGCTGGAGTTCAAAATCATATCGATGAATACACTAAATACAATAGAAAACTACATTGAGCTGGGCAAATACAACGGGAATATCAAAAGCTACTACAAAGTGGTAGAGGAGTGCTCCGCTGACCGGCCAGATCAGAGCATTTTGAGGCTTTTAGAGCATCATTCGAGGAACGTTAACCCCATGCAGCATCTCTGGATTACCAATCTGTACAACTTAATGCATAAATATTTTCGAAACGAAGTGAGGACTACAATTCGTGTGAAAGTCCTACACATTCTTATGGACGTTTTCAAATTAAACAGGTACCTCATATGGGAAAACATCAATTCCTAGTTACTTTTAAAGCAGTGTTTTAGGGAGCAGTACGAAGAGGAATTGTTAGAAAGGATACTGATTCCACACTTATCGCTAGTAGTAAATGATTATGATGTTTTTATTAGGACTTCAGTTATAAAATTGTTAATTGAGGTCTGCACAGTATGTGAATCGAAACGTTGCATAGAACTATTGGATATTTTGGAGAAGGTATGGACTAATTTCAAAATCAAGGAATCATGAAATAAATTAGTTTCCCTTTCGAATTCCAGTTTTTATTTCGGCCGTTCGAAAGTCAAACTCCAAACGCAGACTATCAAGATGTAACTTGCCTGGTCACGGGCCTCACCGGATTATTCGTGAGAAAAATCCATAAACTGCCCTCATATCACGCGGTCAAGATCTATACAATGCTGGTGGGGTTTTTGGAAAAGCATTACGAAACGCCCATGATTTTCCATGGCTGGCCTAAAATTCGATTTGCTGTGAGTAGCGACTGCCCGACTTTTTCTTATTCCTTACTAGTAAATGAATACTTTTTAATGGTTTAGGTTTTTGATTGTTTTCTGAAAATGCGAGCTGACTCACTGTATCATTTGGGCTATCCGGATGGAAACCTTTTAAAATTCAGTCCCTATTTATGCGTGATTTACCGTAGCTCGGTAAACTCACCACCTCCGCAGTCTCCCGCACCACAACCGATGTGCAATATTACTTATGTATCTCTTCGCAAAGCGTTCAAGCTGATCATTACCTGTTTAACATTTGAAAAGGGTAAGTATGAAGTTTTCGTGCTGAGATTTGCATAATAGCTAACTTTCCGGTTTGAAGATTGGGATGTTTTGAATTTAGTACTCAGTGGAATTACCAAAGGCCTTCAAAACAAGTCGCTGGTGCTCGGAAAAGGGAACAACGAGCTCGATTTGCTTGTAAATGTGCTTTGCTCAATGGTAAATGGTGTTTGAACGAGCAACATTAAATATCAAAGTTTGCCTTTTGGACTGTATTCGATTTTTTTTAGATTTCCGACAAACAATTGAACCTTCCGGAGTCCCTCAATGTTAAAATTAATAAACCGGACTTCCACTCCACAGTGTCATTAGTATTGGTCAACCTCGCTTCTTACCATGCCTATCTGGACAATTCAAGCCAAACGAAAATGATTCGGTAAAAATGCATATTGATCAATCACAACTACTTTTCTTAGGCGCAATATTTTTTGCTTTAGATGTATTATGAAATGCATTCAGAATGCCCCCAAAAGTTCGAAGCCTTGCATATCAGCGCTTACAATATGTACTCTGGAGATGAAGGAAGTGATGGTAAAGATTTTACCTATGGTTTTGCTAGCCTTATCGAAAATGTCCCCAACCAAGCACGTTGCCGTGCCTGTCCTGGAGTTTCTTTCGAGTAAGTGATTGTGCTTATTTTGGGCCAATCCCCTGCAGAAACTATTGATTTTTGCTTCTCCTAGCGATGACTCAGCTGCCTTCAATCTTCTCGAATTTTGTATCTGATCAGTACATGGCGGTGTTTGCTGTTGCCTTGGCTTACAGTAACCCCTTTAGGTTTAACCATTACATCGTGTCTTTGGCACATCATGTTATCGCCATTTGGTTTTTGAAATGCCGTTTAACATTTCGAAGGGATTTTGTCAGCTTTATTATCACGGTAACAGCATGACTTGGCCAACTGAAACACGGTTTAAAAGTCCCGTTTTAGGGCTTGAAAACCAATCTTCAACCATATGAGGAGACGCTGTACAAGTCAGACTTGGCCCTCATAAATCAGGACAGTTCAGATCGCAAACGATCCTCCAGTTTAACTGAGCAAGGTTGAGTAGATTATTGAGCCAGCAAGAAACCTTCGTGGTTGTTTGTTTCTATAAGGTTCCAGACGCCGAGATGAAAGATCGCTTCCAGTGCGAATTGAGAAAGGCGTAATAAAAAAGGGGCCAGCTTCTAACAAGCTGGTCAGCACCTTTTACGAAGAGCTGAACGAGACTTGCATCGACTTGATGGCACGCTACGCATTTTCGCCTTGCAGCGCCTTTCCTAGACGGTGATAATTGTTGGGAGCTTAATATCGTCGGTTAAAAACTTTTGCATTTTTGAAACAGATTGCCTGGTGCCGAGTTTCTGCTGAATGGAGGACAGTCAATGACGTGGCTCGTTGGGAATAAACTGGTGACTGTGACTACCAGCGGATGTTCTCAAAAGGTTCTCAAACAGGGACTGTGTGACAAATGCTGGCTGATGTGCAACACCAAGACTGACAATAAGCTGCTCACAGCCGGTGGAACTTTCTCAACCCTCTCATCGTCATTTTATTTGTTAGCTTTGTCTTGTTGCAGGCGCCAGTAGTGCGGAGACCAGCCGACAGAATTCCAACGAAAAATCTAACAATTCCGTGAGCTCTCCACAGGAAGAAGGAGGCAGAATCGGAGAAGAGTTGGTCACCACCAAGTTGCAGGAAATGTTCAAGACTGATGAGCGTAAAGAGGAGAAATATACATGCGCGTGTTGGTGTCAGGGATGGGCGGAGGTTTACATTCGAAGGCCCACCGGTAGGATTTAGGCCCTTCTGTGAACGTTTTCCATTGAACATGATTGAATTTTAGGTGACATGTCGTGGATTATGAGAATTCAAAACGATTTGTCCCATACCCGGACCACCTACGACTTTCCTATGAATGAACTGTCCACGCTGTATATGCCGTCTCTGTATGATGAACCTCAGAGACCTCTTCTGGTGCGACAAGACACGTTTGATGAAAACCAGAGCATTTGCGAAGATGATGTCGCAAGTGGACAAGGTGGGAATCTTATTTACATTTGGTGCGGGTGAGAATTAGACTTATTTTCCTCTGTCTGTAGTCTCACCAAGACAGTCACCTTCAAGACAAAATTCCCAAGACAGCATTGAAGAGGAGAACGATGATATAGTTTACGAAGACGGCACGAGGACCAGAAATCCAGTTCGTCGGTCTAATTCTAGTCCAGAAATGTCGGCGGGTATGTGTAATACATATGGGAGTTTTCTAATGGTGTAGGGTTGATTAAGCGACTCTACAACTGCGGACTCTTTTGCACTAAATGGGGGCTCGTGTTGTTGAAGAGTGAAAACATATTAAATTTCAACAGATGTTGAAATAATTGTAAAAGTTGACTACTTTCTGACTTAAGGATGGAAAAACCCTTTCCATAAAATGGGCTCATCGTCTGGATCATCAGAGGGCGACAGCGTAGACGACAAAAAAGCAAAGATGTACGCGAAGGATATGCGCGTCAGCTGTGAAGCTATTCCTGAAGAAATAGCCGGTAACTGTATACTTTGCCCTGAGCATATTTTTTTAAAGTATTTGACTGACATTTTCAAACCGATGGAAATTTTGTGTTCTTTAGGTAGCCCGCCCCAGTCAGAACCGATCCATGCGATAACATCGCACCATCCTTCGCTGCTGAGTTATCACAGCTGCCCCGGATCCACTATTCCCAGCGAGGCTAGCAAATCCTGCCAAACAATAGCGCCTTTACCTGCCGGCTTTCAATCTGGGGCCCATTTGGAGCATTGCAGTAAGCCCAGCACACTGCCGAATATAGTCGGAGCACTGCAACCTATGTCGGGAAAGCCGCCCCAGAGCCCCACTCAAACCAGTCCGCGCTTAGCCAGACATACTAATAAAGGTGAGTGTTGTTTTCCGAAATTCAGTTAAACCGTAACTGGTTTCTCGCAGGGGGCCAAGAACTGCAAAAGAGTTCGTCGTCTTCAGTGGTGCTAGACAGAAACAGTCATTTAAGCCAAACAAATCTCAAGGATCGTAAAAGTGGCGGCAGCTCTGAGAGATTGGCTTCGTTCGATTCCAGCCAATCCTACACAAAAAGGGATAGATTTTATACCATCTCTGTGATGAGCAGGCCAAGGTACATGCCACTGTTGCGCGATAATCGCCGTTTTATTTCAGTTGGCTTGCAGATCCGAGCCCAATAGACATCCGACGCGCACGAAGGATGTGCCGAAGAGTGGAGTGAATCCGAGTTTCGTTTTTTTACAACTTTATCACAATTCATTCTTGAACGATCACCACAAGGCTGAAAAACCTGTTCTTATTGGAAACAGTGATGCGGTTAACAGGTAAATAGCAGGCTAGGAAAATGAGTTTCTGTCCGGTCTTATACAAAATTAAAGTTACTTATATTTTCAGGGCTGTCAATATCTTGGACAATATTCCTCCTTACGAAACCCACAGAGTGGGTGTGCTGTATATTAGAGAGGGACAAGTAAACAACGAAATGGAGATTTTAAAAAACCAGTTTGGATCCTTGCGGTACATGAAGTTCTTGCAAAATTTGGGAACTTTGGTGAAGACATCTGATGTGGATCCCCAACTGTTAGGTATTGTTGTCAATTAATGATGGAATTATCGAATCAAGTGATTACTTAAGACACATTCCAGGTGGCTTGGATGGAACGGACATCAAGTTCGCCTACATTTGGCAAGACGACGTAGTAAGAGTGAGTTTCCATGTAGCGACAATGATGCCAAATAAGGACAGTGACCCTCATTGCAATAACAAGAAAATGCACACGGGGAACGATTTCGTGAATATCGTCTACAATGAAAGTGGAGAGGAGTTCGACATGAAGACTATCAAGGTGCCCAAGTAGCATAAGCAAAACCCTCCTTCAATATAACTTTTGCAGAGTCAGTTCAATTTCGCCAGCATCATCATACAACCTCTGGACCACAATATCAATAGAGTGGTAGTGAAGATTAAGGACGATCTGAAGGACTTGGCAGTGGTTGGCAACGATGCTAAAGTAGTGTCCGACGAAAATGTAGCCATCCTGGCACGACAGCTCGCCTTACATGCAAATGTAAGCATTTTTGCGTGATTTACAAAAATAAGGTTGAATTGTTTTTCGGCTTTAGTTGGCATCGTTAGTCGCGAGGTCGCTGAAAAATAGTCCAAACGACCCATACGCCTCAAACTGGTTGGAAAGGTTGAGACGCATAAAGAATGTCCGTAAAAAGGTGCTGGACGAGAATAAAAATGATGATCATAACAACTATCCGTCGGAGGAGAATAAGAGCAGGAAGCCCACCGAAGATTTTACGGACTATTCCTAAATGGGTTCCGGAGGTTAGGTATTATTATTTGCTAATCAATCGAAAGTTCTGATTAATGTAGCTGTGTTATATCTTCATAAATGTTTATATGTATGTCGATTAACTAGAATAGTGACTTTGAATAAAGGTACGTTTAACCATTGTGTACACTTTCATCACGTAGACCTGGTGATCGTGTAGTTTCCTCGGAATTTTTAGTTTTTTCTTGTTTTGCTTTAAAGAACCACGATAAACTAAGCAAAAATTCCTGCATGCTTCATAAATTAAGCCAAAAAATCAACTTTTGAAATTCACTTGTTTATGCACGAAAATGAGATTCGTTCGCTGCTATTTGCCGCTAATTAGTTCTTTAGGATCAATAATTTATAGCTCCACAGGCAAAATTGTCGCTAATATTCATAATAATTTTGAGTTAGTTTGTGTGTTGGTAATTTTTTTATGAAACAAAAAAATATACAAAATGTAAACATTAATAATCTGAACAGACCTAAATAATATAATCCATCCCAAATTTAATAAATTTGGGATTCGCCAATAACACAATTTTTATTAACTTAAAACGTTTTGGGCAGTTTGGCAACACCGCTCGAAATTTAGCCTGAAACTGATGATTTTCCTCATACTTTGTGAGTGTTTTTTGGCTTAATTTACGGACCATCCAGGAATCTTTTAAGGTGTGAAACGGCTTAATTTTAGACTCAAACGACACCAACCAAACTGATAAAAATCTAATTAAGGTAATGGTATTTTAAAATTTTACATTCACTTTGGCAACGTTGCATGAGTCAGAAAATCGACATTCATTAATTTGGTTATGTTATTATAAGCAGATTTAAACATTCCAAAAAATAAACTGAAATCGCTTTAACAAAATGAACTTACAAACATGCATAGTCTTTGGAATGGCATTTATTATGATTAATTGTATTACTGAAGAGGACGAAGGTGTTAAATATGCCAATAAATGTGAAGGTAACACAAACCAGCGTAAACATTCAATACAGATTTAATGTTTCTTTTGGGGCAGTTTTATTTTTAAAAATCTTGTAGTTTGCAAAATACTAGCGATTGAATTGCAAAGTCGATTGGAAGAAACAGGAAAAACACACGATGTGATAGAGACTGGTTACTCAGTTGACGATATCAAACCCAAGAAAAAAACAGAATACAAGAAGTCAGAGCTGCGCTTAATTGAATCACTAGACGGAGTATGTGAACGCATTCTCGAATACAATATCCACAAGGAAAGAGAGGATAGTACTAGATTTGCCAAGGGTATGAGCCAGACGTTCCAAACATTACATGGACTAGTAGATAAAGGAGTGAAAGTCGAACTTGGTATCCCATATGAACTTTGGGATAAGCCCAGTGCAGAGGTTACCAATATGAAAACGCAGGTAGTCTTTCTTTCATTTCATATAATGGCAGGAGGACAATTTTCGCAATTCACAATTTTCAGTGCGAGACACTGTTGGAGGAAAATGAGGCTGAGATAGAAGACTGGTATTTCCAACACCAAGAAGGAGGCGAGCCTTTGAAAACATTCTTATGTGAAAAAGTAGTTCTTAAGGGTGAGAATCTTAAGTGTCTGAATGAGCAGTTAAAAGGAGAGACCGATCAAGACCAACCGAACACTGTCAAAAAGGGAACTAAAGACAAAATTAGAAAACATGCTAAAAAAATTGATGAGAACAAGGATGAATTGTAGAGTCACTGCTTTTCAGTTAAATCATAGCTATACATAAAACAGAGTTTGCAATAAGTACAGTTTCACTAGCACTATTGTAAGGGTAAATTGATAAGTGGTTTTGAATCAATAAAACGCTTTAAAACTATGCAGCCGAATATATTTACTTTTTGGTTCCTCCAGGCTTTCTCTTGTTTTTCGCTTTACCACGCAAGGCTCGCATTCGTTCCATTTCCTCTTTCCAGTCCTGATGTTCATCTCTAAACAGTCCATAATGTCGGAGTTTCATCATCAATTTCCCAGTTTCTATGTGTCTCGGATAGTACGCGTATATTTCCTTACGTAGATTAATCGGTTGCTCGCTGCAATTCAAATAAGCTAAAAGACCTTCATCGTTCTAAAGATGGTCGGTCGTACCTAAACAGCTTCACCACTTTCATGGATTTTGAACTGGTGGCTCGGACTGGTTCACTAAATATGCGATTGCTTAAGCGAGCCATTCGCTTGGCATATTCAGTAGTTTGTTTGATTAAATCTGTATATTTGGCGTAATTACTCATACTTTAAGAATTGAAATTCACAGATTACCAAATTCTTCTCTTGAATGTAAATCATATGTTAGTGCTAGGTTATTAGCAAAGACCACAGATTTTCCTCTCTTCTACAAACACAGATCTTAGATAAAGACAAGTAGAGGTTATATTCGCCATCTGTGATCCGAGACACGAACTGTCAAGAATATGTTCTTCGAACTAACTAATCTCGAGTTTAACGCAAATGTAATGTTAATGAAAGAAATTCAGATAATTACCATGAATTGATAAATCCAAGTTAACCGGAACCTATATATTACACAGAAAGCACCTGCAAGTTCTTGTCTGGCCAAAACCGTAAGATTTCATATTTTCAATTGTTTCTGATTTCAATAAACAAAGCTTGACACAGCTGTCATTTCCAAAAGTCGATATTAAAAATTTACTTCTGGTTTACTTAAAATTTCCGTTCAAAATGGCATATTGCGAACATATGGTGGACGATCGCAATTCTGGACATTCAACCGGACAGACCGATAAAGACAAGCTGCTTAACATACAAAATGAGTTGATCTGGGGACTGACGTATCGGAACTACAAAGAACACGAAAAGAACAATCCTCTGGTTCCACTTCACTCGCCGATTAACATTCCATTCGAACTCTGTAGAGCTGGAACCTTGCAAGGAAGCAAGTTCAAGGAGAAAAGGCATTCAAATGAGGGTACCATAGCGAGAAACAGTAATCAACCGAAGAGAGATGGCCAGGGAATAAGTATGAACTAAATAGTTTGCATAAAACACTTCCACTTCATAAGGAGTTAATATACCAATTATAACTTAACAGAGGCGCAGCGAACCGCAACGAACCGCAATCAATCTAAAAGCCGAAAACAGCAAATAGAAAAGCCTACCCTTCTGGACAGAAATGTTTGGTCTCAGACTAAATACATGAGCTTCCTATCAGTTCCTAACATGAAATTTGAGAAACCCACTTCGAAAAAGTACATCCGAAGGTGTGAATTAGCACCTTGTCCGCCTCGATTCGTTCAGCTGGCTGTGCCAAATAGGAGAAGGGTGTGTGTGTTTGCCTGCAGCCAGAAGATAACTCTGGCTCTATGTGTTCTCTATCTTTTACTTACAGGTTTTCGCCAACTGGAAGGAATACGTCAACTTGTTGCCTACCGAAATGCTAATGCGATATGAAGAAATTTTGCACACAGACCAGAATTTAGACCCAAGAGAGGCGCGTTATTATTATATGAAACTGGACAGGTAAGGAACGCAAATTGAATTTTATCAAAATCTGTTTGAGCAACTGAAGCTGTGTTTTAGGCAAAAACGCAAGGAACGTAGAAAAAAACTATTTTTAAAGGAAAAGAAACGACTTGAAAAGAAAACAGGTTCAGATTGGATGAGGGCTCACATTGATACTCTTGCTTCAAGCGTTTTAGACTATATTCAAGACGAACCTCTTTTTGCATTAAACTACAAACAAATGCTATTGTCTGACGGTAATTGTAGCTTAGAGATTTTATTTGAATTAGTGCATAGCCAATCTATTGGGTTGCAGGCATTTTGGACCGGTTGGAGCAAACAAAAACCATAAAAAAAACAAGCAGAAAGACCAAAAACCACTACCAACAAACCATCATCGAAGTGACTGATAAATTTGCGGTTTGGATCGATACGTTGACTAAGTTTGTGGATGTGCAGGTGAAATAGCAAATTTTGAACGTTTCTATGCAGGTACTGAAAATTCAATTCCCTTCACAATGTTTTGTTTAAGGCCATTGAATCAGATGTAGACATACCGCCAGTGTCGGTTTCTTCGCTCGCTGGGGAAAGCGAAAGAGAGTCCGGCGAAGGATCTGCATTTTCTTCTTCATCATTTTCTTCCGAAGAGTTGCGGGATTCTCAGCTATTTGAACCAGAAAACCGTTGGAGCGAAGAAGGTGAAAGTGTTAAACACCTTACTGAGGGTCTTCTTGAAGACCTGTTCAAACCTGGGGGAGAAGCAGAAGGCAATAATAATCAAGCTGCAATGTAATGCAATAGTTTCTGGATGTTTTTTTGACTTGTTAGGAGAATATGAACTAGACGAAATTCTCAACGGGCTTGACCGCGATGTTTTGGACAAACTTATTAGAATTTTGGGCGACTGTTCTGATGAGTTCTTGGACGGCTATATAGATGAGGGCCAGATGTCTAGTGTAACATATAGAGATGTGCTGGACAGACTTAAAGGTACAGTTGCTATTATTTGACGAAACTCATACCTTGATAGAACTATCGAAAATGCTTTACACAATTTGTCTTTTACATAATGGTTCACTGTGACTTTCGGCTTTTCTTAGAGTTGCGCGACGGCCTGAGCCCTGATGGAGAAAAACCATTTTTGGAGAAAATTATGATCGACTGGGCGATACGAAACCACCCCGATGATGTTAACGACGAAATTCTACAGAAAATACATGAAGTGGCTGGTATTATCGGCGACTTTAAAATGAAACCACAGTCGCCAGGTAAAACCGAGAAATTATCTGGTTTTCTTATTGAAACAAAGTCTAACCGCAAGTCACAAAACTAATTATAGTTTTTACATGCAGTGGAAAAAAGTACGGAAGGCCCTGAAACGGAAGATGAGGTAAGTGGCCCAGCAGAAGGAGATATGTCTGAGGGTGCAGAAGAAAGCGCAGATCATGATGAGGGAGAAATTGAAGGCGCAGATGCCGCAGTAAAAACTGGTGAAGATGACGGAAACGAAGCTGCGGATGATGCGGAAACTACAGTTACAAACGGGGCAATTGAGGATAAAAGTTCAGGTTTAGCAGATGCACATGAAGATGAAGAGGGAGAGGGAGAGGGAGATGGAGATGGAGAGGGAGAGGGAGAGGGAGAGGGAGAGGAGGTCAATGTTGAAAAAGCGGATGCAGAAGAAGCTGGAGAAGAGGATGCTGTAGATGCAGCGATAGAACAAGGTGGTTAGAGTTGATTTGCTAGTTACTTTTAATAATTGCTTTCAATGGGTATGTGAAACACATTATTTCTAATTTGATGAAAACCTCATATATATGTGTTGCATTGACACGCACACAAATGAAGAACAAACGGTAATTGTTAGTTAAAACTGTTAGTTATTGAATTGGATAGTTAGAAATGTAATTTGTCTTGTATTTAACATTTTGACCTTTCAGTTGAAATATCCGAAGGATCATTTGGTTTCGAGTTTGAAGACGGGATGAGCGGAATTCCAACCGAGGAAGATCTTGATCTTTCTAAGATAGGTGAAGAAGAAGAAGAAGGTGTTTTTAATTTTCTAAAAATACTTCCATACTATTATTATAATCAAATTTTGTATACTTACTAGTTTTTGAAGGCAGGACTGATGACGAAGGAAGTACGGGCATTTATAAAATTGTGGATGACGGTGAAGAATTCGTGGCATCTGAAATGGAATATGAAGCCCAAGAAGGAGCTATTCTCCCTTACGGGTGAGATATATTTAATAGTAAAGTATTTTCCATCAATTATATTTCTGGCAGCATAATCAAAGGCCACAAACCATCGAAAGTGTTTGAGCATTCACCGGGTACCGTTTGCTGCTTGTCGCTGAAAACTTGGGCAGTCTGGCTGTTGGAAATCACACATAATGCACACAATTGGACTCAGTGGGTTTGTCCTAGCAAACTGTTTTAACAGTTGTTTCATTATCTTTAAACCATATTTCGAATTTCCAGATGAGCTGTGTAATTCAGAAAATTCGAGAATATGCCGCGATCGTGCGTGGCGATGTGAAGAAACAGGATGGACAGGTCAAAGTGTTACCCAAAGCTGAATGGAGACAGTTCATTAAAGAAACCGAAGAATCAGTGGTGGCCTGGAGGCAGTATAGTGCCCACGTGAAAGGTTACTGAACTTATTGAGTAACGAGTTAACAAAACGAGTTATCTAATATATGGTGCGAACCAGATCTCTCTCAGAGCATCGTGGAGAACTTCCATAATAAGAAAATCAACTGTTGTCCGAAATGCCTACAAGACCACCTGATAAGGAATGTGGTGGTTGCCCATGACACCCTTCAAGCTTTAACAGAAGCTGTGAGTTGTGCGGCCTACTGGCAGCGTTGCCTGGATACTCTAATGGAGAAAACTTGCGGATTGACAGATACCAAACCAGGTAACTACTATAAGTACTTACTAATATAACTTAATAATCGTCACACTATCTCGTTGACAAACTTGTACCATTATCAAAGCACTCTAAATAGTAGTTTTCGATACAAAGGCGAAAAATGTCGTGTTTCGAACGACGACGGCGTCTCGGGTGTCAATCCGTTAGGAGTTCGAAAAACAAATTTTCGCCCTCGTATCGAACACTATTTTTTATTCGAATGAAAGATTACACGAATAATAAAATGCATCGATTTCATATTTAAAATTTTGTGGCAATGTCATTTTTTGAAATGTCATGTTTTGAAGTTTGTAATTAAGTTTAAGTACTTTTTCAACTTGAAACACCTGTGGTCTTGGGATGGTGTTTGCATGTTGCATACTCTGCATGACATTTGCGCTTCTTAAAAAGATCGTGTTTTACGTGTGACAACATCGCAAAAGTAGATAAGTAGGCCATTAAAACGATTATCAGACTGAACTTGTAACAAGGGTATAATTTACAAATTGTAAGTAAACTTGAAAATAG